TGAGAAAATATCGTCATAGCAACCGAGCCAAGCAGTTGTGGAGCAATCGAGTCGTAAAGACACTGCACACTGCATTACAACAGTTTCACAACAGGAAACCTGCCACATGTAGTCTGCCATCTTCTTTTCTTCAGTTAGGATAAACAACATCAGATCTAGTACAGACGACATCAAGACTTCTGAAAGCCTTCAGCTTCTATCTCCATCAACGTGAATGCTTGAAAACGGTTGAACGAAGAAGAACAAGAATAAAAAAAGACTCTTCAAACAAATGTGTTACTTTGCAGAAACATCATTTTTGGTGATATTTTTAGAACAGAATATGGAGTGGGGGGGGGGGTAAGATAAGTTACTCTCATCACAATGAATTTGGTAGATAGAGAATAGTTACAATACAGCTGTATGTGTATTTATATATTTACAAAGCAGGTTCTGTAATGGGCAATACTACAAGCGTATCCACAGCATTAAGGTGAGTCCAGAGCAAAGATCTATTTATAGCACAAGCATTGTCGGTCAGTGTCAAAGCATCCTGTGAAGAGACTACGAGTGAGCATCGTTTGAAGCACGAGCGCTAGATCACATAAATGGTTGTGATATATTGACAGCTTTACAGTAAAGCTACAGCACTCCTCTGTGTATCGGTATGTCAAAATACATTACACCAGCAGTCTCTTTTACGAATGTGCTGGCACATTCATAGCATAAAAGTAAAGTCTTAGTGCCAATGAGATCCTAGGATGTACTAAAAGGACCAATATTTTATATGCAGCTTTAAATCAAAGTGACTGTTTGCTTGCTCTCCCTGCTGAGGGAGTGCTGGTGACTGTGCAGATACATTCACAGCTTGACAGTAAAGTACCCACAAGATCTGAGCATACAGCATGGTGGTACCTATCTGGTGTTGCAGTTTCTAACACAGATGCAATGACGCAGTATTGTACCCACGCACACATAAATGCAGAAATGCAATGTTGAACACATACACAGATGCAGTAATGCTGTGTTGTTCACACACACACACAGACGTAATGAGAAGGTGTTGCACACACACAAAGACACAGTGTGGTACACAAAGACGCAGAAATGCCGTGTAGTACACACACACAGACGTTGAGACGCGGTGTTGCACACACAGAGAGAGCTAGCAGAGCGGACTATGACAACATGACACTGACGACATGACACTGACGACAACACTGAGGGAGCTGGACGATGGAAGAGCCTCACTCTCCTGGGAGACCGTTTGGATTTGCTGCCATGTTCATCATGCTAGTGGTATAACAAACACATTGGAACAGACTGGAAACACTTGGTTGGGGGAAGGGGGAGGGGAGGGTGGGGGTTGGAGGTTTGGGGGGGGCAGAAAATAGAAGTAGCAGGATTTCTGGAAACGTTCTGGGTAGGTACATAACTAAAGGAACAAGTCTTCATCATAAACACCTTATGTCGTCAAATTTTTAGACATAAAGAGACAGACACCACACTGCCTTCACAGCTGGTAGACAAGTCTCTCCCCCCAGCTAAAACTACAGAAGTTAAAATCAGTATATCTGAAACAATCCACACACACAGAAAGGCCTTCAACAAAACAAATAACTGTCCTGGACTTGACCTGAAGTGAATTCAAGACGCAACCGCAACACGAGAATTTTTCTCTAAGCATTTTGCTTCCATCAATAAATAAATTATTATATGAATCACTTGGTACACATCAGATCACAGGATTTGTCTTTCTTTTTCTGTCGCTTTAAACATTTTCTAGTCATTGGCCTCTCCTGCACTTGAATATTGCACAAAACGTTCTCACATAATCCAAATGCTCGAATCATCCGCTTATATTTAAGTGTCAATGATCAGAGCAAAAAGCTTTAATTCAATAAAGCTGTATTGCACCGACAGATGTCTATGTTCAGAAGAAATTTTCCAAAACACTTCCACAAATAAAACAAAAATTATGTCAACAGCAAGTTCAGTCTATGAAAACGTCCCTCTCCAGGAGAAAATCGGTAAAAGTAAAGTTGCCGTCCCTCCCATTCTGAACAGCCTGACCTTGAGCACAAACATCTGGGGTCACCACGTACGAGGTTATTGACCTCATGCACAATATCCAGGATCACTTTGGGGTGTCACAGCGGGGTTGCAGCTACAGTTAGGCTGTCTTTGACCAACAGAAAACATCTTGGCTGTGATTGCCATAACTTCTGAAGATGTTGTGGTGGGATGGTCACCAACAGAAAGCATCTGGCTGTGATCTCCTGAAGATGTGGTGATGGTGCTGGTGTGGGCGAGGGGTGTGTGGAGGGGTGCTTAACTTTACTTTTACCACAGAATCTGTAGTCCCCAAGTTTTTGTGAGAGGTTTCACAGCCTGGACTCGACGCCCGAGCTGGAGGAGAAGTCTTGTATACTGTTGTGACTGTCCATGCTGTCCGTGTCGTTGTTGGTGAGCGGGGTGGTGGTGTTGGCGTTGTTGTTGCCGTTGTTGTACGTGCCCGCCGCCTCTTGCAGACGCATCAACATATTGACCTGAAATAGACAGACAGACGTACAGAATGGTTCACTTCCTGATGCTATAGAAATGTATGAGGACAATCAAATCGTTATGCTCACAAGATAATTGGCTAAATCATTTTCGGCCCGTTTGGAGTTGTTGGTTTTTAAATGAAGAGCAGAGCTAGCTTGGTAATACAGTTCACTTAGACAAAATAATAATCCAAATATAAAATCAATTGCGGGTACCAAAATTTAAGCATTTCTCAAAAGTCAGTTGTTCGAAAGAAAGTTTTTTTCCTTATTTTCTCAAAATTCAATTTTGGCATTTTGTTTCTGTATTGTTACGTTATTGCTTCAACCTACCAGCGGGTCCCCGTCCTTGTGCTGCTCTGAGACGGGTGACTTGGTCTTTGCTGTGAGCACCTGGGGTGAGCCCGGCGTCTGCTGCTCGTAGCCCAGGTCGTCAGCACGGATGTGCATGAGGCTGTTGCCAGAGCCTCGGTTTGGCCAGGGGTACGTCTCCAGCACCCAGTCTGTGGGGTCTTCCCACGCGCTGCGACAACCGTACACCTAAATTGGGAAGGGGGAGGTGGGGGGAGGGAGGGATAAAGTTTCAGAATTAAGACAAGTACATGAAAATAGAACATGGAAAATAAATCCCCCCTTACTGATCTCCCTTGTAAATGTTTTACAAGGTATGCATGAATACATTGTAACAATAACAGTTATTAAGTGCTGGGTAAAAGCAAGATGGACATACAGAAACAGCAGAGTGAAAGAAAAGAACTAGGATCTACAAGTGACACCCTTCAACTATCCATGGTGAGTGGGGAAGTACATTATATGAATTCAATATTTATTGGTCGAAGAAAGCCAATTACAACAAATATTTCTGAAAAGGGGGAGAGAGGAACTTATTAGGTGAAGGAGAAACTTGGAAGATTTCTAAATCTGTGACTGTTAATCACAAACACAAAGACAAACACAAAGGTAAACACACGAGACCTTCAACAAATACAGACGTGGTCACAGGAAAACATGCCCCCCCCCCATACACATACACACCCGTTAGCCTCCCCCACTCACCTGTAGCCCCTCTCTCACAGTCTCCACCAGTGTGTAGTTCCAGAGGTCAGTGAACCACACACACAGACACACACGCACACACAAACACACTCACCTGTAGCCTCTCCCTCACAGTCTCCACCAGTGTGTAGTTCCAGAGGTCAGTGAACCACACACACAGACACACACGCACACACAAACACACACACACACTCACCTGTAGCCCCTCCCTCACAGTCTCCACCAGTGTGTAGTTCCAGAGGTCAGTGAACCACACCTGGGAACCGCCGATGTCCATGGGACATGACATAAACAGCCGAGGACCTGGCAACAACAAACATTGACACAGAAAAGTTAGTACCTTATGAGTCTTTAGGCCTACTGGATTTTTGTTTCAAACTATCAAAACAGACCTTTTATAAATAAGGGAAACGATTGAGTCCTTTAAAAAAGCCGAACCTATCAACATAAACCTTTTAAATGTAAGGAAGATATTTGAGTCTTCTTTTTAAAAAAAAACTAACAACAAAGATCTTCTTCGTGTAAGGGGGATGTTTGAGTCCTTTATGTATAACAGTTTTAATATCTACTTGTTAAAAAATTCTAGATGTAAAACATTAACATTTCGTTAAAAAAAATATGTTTAAAGTTTCAAATGAAATTTTTCAATTTGAATAAGAAGCAAACATTGTTCAATAACTTAAGATTCTAGTAAAATACTGACTACTAAACAACAATAAAATTGGTATAGGATTTAGTAATGCTGGAAAGTAGTGTATTCTTCCTATTCTTTCAATGTACTATGTTTGTCTTTACAACTGATCTCGAGTGGGAAAGTTTTACTTGAGTATCCCTATCAATCTGCTGGGATGTTGCATCCTACAAAACACAGGTAGGCCTTGACAGGCAGGGTGAAGAGAAGCACCCTACCTCCCAACTGACTTAAATTGTGTCAATAGCGGTGAAAAACACAAGTTACGATTTTTATTTTTATAACGGAATCCCTTGCTGGGCACACCCCTCTCACCTAAATTATGTCGAAAAGGGTGTAAATAAAACAATTCTTATAACCAAATCCCTAGAAAAGGGAGTTTGTAAAACAAAACAATTCTTATAATCAAATCCCTAGAAAAGCAAATCCCTAGAAAGGGTGTAAAACAAAACAATTCTTATAACCAAATCCCTAGAAAAGGGTGCATGTAACACAAAACAATTCCTATAACCAAACCCCCCTGGCCCACCCCTCTCACCTATCGTGACGTCGGCCGAGCTGTGAGACTCCAGGGCCTTGTTGAGGTGAGCCCACACTTTGGGGATCCAGTCCACCACACGGTTCAGGTCGTTGTTGCGGATGCCGGTTCGAATCTCCGCCTCCACCAGCTTACGGCGCAGGAATCGACCCAGGAACCCTTTGACCTCCATGTGGTTGGCACACAGCACAAACCTGCCAAAGTCAAAGTCACATAGTATTAGGGCTAACATCTCCATAAGGAAAAGTTTTTTAAAAAATCCCTTTCAGCATGTTTTTATCTGAGTCTCCATAAGGAAACCTTTTAAAAAATCTCTTTCAGTACATTCTTATCTGAATCTCCATTAGGACAAGTTAAAAAAAATCTCTATCTCTTTAAGCAGGTTTTTCTCTGAAATCATCTGCAGCTGTGGAGTAGTAGGCTCTACGTTACTCATTCGATGTACAAAACAACACACACAAATCAAAAACAGGTCAATAATATTCTCTCTGTTGTTTTGGGAGTATTTGCTTTGACCATGGTGTTCAAATAAGGGACTAAACGTTCCCTCTCTGAAATGATTGTCAGTGTGTCTACATGAGAGTTCAACTATGACATAAGCAACAGCATAAGGTATTTTCTTTTTTTAAAAATCCTACACTATCTCTCTCCCTCTCCCTCTCCCTCTCTCTCTCTATGTATCCTTATGCCTTTAGGGAAGAGAATGTTGAGAAAAAAAGGAATAAAATATGCCTGGAGGAGTGTGTGTGTGTGTGGGGG